GCTCTCAGTCGACCTGGTTAGCATAGGCCTCTGGGCTTGGGTCTCCTATAAACCGAATAATAACCGGTGGGGCGGGAAACAGGATAAGAGGGTCTTGGAGCTTACACTTAGGTGTCCAAAAGGCAGAGCTGCCCTCTTCCATACCAAGCTCCGCACCCTGCTGTCCCCAGCCCCTGAAATGGCAGTCATGAGCCGCCCGTCCAACACCTGGACCGCGGCAGGCTTTTATTCCAGCCGTTCCCACCGACAGAACCGGCCCACCAGCAGCTACGAGACCAGAACAGTCGTGTCGGCAGCTGCATGTGGTGCCTATTCGAGGCACACACGGAGGCCAATGTCGGGCGCGGGGCCACCGTGCGCTTCCGTGGCTACACCCAAGCAGTCAGCCAGCACTTCGTAAAGCGGAATGCAGGCAAGAGCCTGAAGGTCGGCGCCCGGGCTCTCAAGAAGACCCATCGGCATTTCGTCAGCACGGGCAGTGTCATGCAGGCGATGTACAGGATGCTCCACCTTGGGACTCCACACAAGATCACGCAGAAGCAGTTCGATGAGGCGGCGCTCCAGACTGGGTGCAAGGGCCTGACTGCCTTTGCGGCCCTGCCGTACGTCGACCTGTCGTGCCTCTTCACTGTCTCCACCGGCCATGCCCTGCTGTTCGGAGTGGTCAGCGACTTTGTGGACTACACGCTGAGGTCGCTCAAAGACATCAAGCCAGCAGACCCAGATGCCAAGCTGGTCATGTCTCGTGAAGCACGCCAGCGGGTCACGGCCCGCGGCCAGTTCCTGGTCGTGACTTCGGACTTTGGGCGGCGGTACAAATGCATCATGCAGTACCGGTGAGCACGGCCAGCACTGGGCAGTCGGCCACACACGGGGTTCGCTAATAGCCGAGAAAGGAAATACGACCAGGGGCTTGCCTGGAAAAAACACCTTCGTCTGTCAGAGAGTTTGCTACTCTACCTATGTAATGTACTTCTTCTAGTTACACGGTTGCTTGCCACACTGCCCCCCTCCACCCATGCAGCAAGAGCTACCGCATGGAGGACTGGCTGCACTTCGTTGAGACGTTCTCCAGCTACATCTTCAAGGGGGACGTGCTGCCCGAGGCCTTGCGGGCCCTGTGTTGGAGCCTGTGCAGCACGGTCACGCACTACTTCCGGCTGCGGCCCCCTGACGAGACCCGTGAGCAGTTCCTGGTGGCAGCCAAGGCGGCTGCATACAAGCTCAGAGCTTACACGACCAGGCTGGAGGAGTTGGAGGTGCCGGGCTACATGTTCACGGTCAACCTGCATATCTGCGTATGCTGGCTGTACTCCGACCTGCCGGTGGAACGCATGATGCAGCAAATGAAGACGCAAGGCGGAAGGATGGTGTCACAGGCACCCGAGAAGCACTACGCGCAGTGGCTGTGCCTGATACGAGTCGCTCACCGAGGCAGACCCCGGGACCGGGGCCAAACACACGACCAACCAGCAGCTTGAGAGGATGTTGGCACGGCGCACAGTGAACACTGAGGCTGCCTGGTTTGATAAACCAGGAGCCAACGGTTACCTGCTTGGACGAGGCCACATGGTCTACCCGAGTCCAGAATGAGTGGCACAAGTCCGGGCAGCCATGGCGAGCCTAGTGCACTGGTATGCCCTGGCATTCGAGGATGTGGCTTCCTGGACATTGGGTCCCAGTGCGAGCTACGAACTGGACACGGACCGCCTGGATAGGGTTCTCATGTCTACACCACCTGACTGTCCCAAGGCCCGCTCCTTATTGCGTGCCGAGGCACTCGATGAGGAGCAGTACTTCGGGGCTGAGTATGGGCGCCAGCAGCAGCGGATCTCCTGCTGGGCATGCTACCAGGCAGAAGTCGGCAACGAGACTCGGACGTATGCGGCCTACCTCAAGCACTTCGTCCACCTGCCCGCAGAAGATGGCGCTCAGGATGTCCGCTTCACTGTCGCAGATGTGTACTCGGGACAGGTGTTCAGCGAGGGGCTGGTGGTGGTCAACATGGCGGCCGCCCAGACAGCGAGGGCAGGCAGCCAGTGGGAGATGTGGCAGGACCTAGGGCTGCCGCTAAGTGAGCTGAAGGGCAAGTTCTGCACAGCCGCCCCGGAGGGGGACCGAAAGGGGCTGATGTACTTCATGCCATACACACACTTCACCAACCGCTGAGCAACCGCAGCAATGAGGCCGATGGATGCACCCTTGTCTGGTTGACAACGAATGACTACGAAAGTTATCCCATGCACATGTGCAACAGATGGCACGCATGTACATACATATGCAGGCGTATATGCGTAAAGGCACACTGGCAGTCCATATG